TTTATGGGCAAAAGGGCTTGTTGGGGGTCTGGATGGGGGGAGGCGTGCAGGGGTGTCGCTGAGGATTTTGTAGGGTACCTGCACTGGCGCTGCAAACGCGGCCGGGAAGCTGCAGCAGAGGACGCTTAAAGATCACCTGGTCTTGCCAGTGCCCAAACATCCTGCAAGCGTTGACTTCGATCGAGCTTCTTCCATCAAGTCAAGGATGTCTAGGCCGTGATTATTTTCGAGTGTTTTTGGTTGTAAGCCTTTTTCTCTGGAGGAGGAGGAGGGGCAGCAGCAGCAGCAGCAGCAGCAGGAGGAGAAGGATGAGAACGCAGACCTGAGCCCCCCACAACCGCCGAGGCGGGAGTGTGGGGGGCCCTTCAAACAAGACTTCGGGCCGAGGGCAAAGGGGAGGGGAGGAGGAGGAGGAGGCGGAGGAGGAGGAGGAGGAGGCGGAGGAGGAGGCGGCGGAGGAGGAGGAGGAGGAGGGGGAGGGGGAGAGGGAGGGGAAGGAGGAGGATGGGAATAGAGGAAGCGGGGGGAAGGAAGGAGGGCGGCGTGGGATGGGGAGGAGGGGGAGGGGGATCCGGGAAGGAGAGGAAAGGGGAACAGAGAGGATAGTCGGCGGGTGAGGAGAGAGAAGGAGGTGACAAACCGGGCGCGTTGGCGTCACATCTGATATCCGATCCTTCTCGCCCAGCCTCTTTTCCACTGCGTTGAATCCTCTTCTCTCCGCAGGCTGGGGTGCCCTACAGAGCCCTTGTCGCCGAATTTCTGCTGATACAAGTTGACCCATCGTTTGCTGCGCAGTCCGCAAAGGTGAACTTTCTACACACGCTTAGAGGGCGGACGTGCAGGTGGCGGATAGGGGAAGAGGAGGACCATGAGGAAGAAGGAGGAGCGGGAGGAGGAGCAATCGGAGGAGGTCAGGAGGAATGAGGGGACGGTGGAGGCGGGAAAGGGGGGCGACGGCAGCGACGGGGAACGGACCGGATCCATACACGTGGCCCGCGCTGGGGCGAAATTACTATCCTTGCCGGAGGGGGCAAAGCACGGACCCGTACCTATGGCCATCGGCGCAGCGGAAGCAGCATGCTGAAAGGATCGAACGCAGTCTGTTCGAAGGACGGGCAGGGCCCAGGAGAGGCAGCCCTTGGATTGGCCAGTGCCAGGGAGGAGAGGATGATCTTACCCATGCTGTGTTGCTTCCTGGGGGGTAGGGGGATGGAGGCGGTGGTGGTCACTGCAGAATGGAAACGATCCCCGAGCAGAGCACAACGCAGAACCACCACGGCGACGCCGACAACGACGACGAAGAAGACGAAGCGAGCGACGACGAAGAAGACGGGGTGCTAAGACGAGGCGCGGGGGTAGGGGGGGGCACGGAGATGAACATGGAGAAGGAGGAGGAGGAGGAGGAGGAGTAGGAGGAGGAGGAGGGAGGAGGAGGGGAGTGGAGGACGAGGAGGGGCAGAAGCAGCAGTCCTCCTGTCGACCTCACCGTGTTTGTCGTTTCCATTTTCCTCTACGTATCACGTCACTGCAGCCTACAGTCAACCCGCGTAGTCAGGATGAGCAGCTTTCCAAGGTTGCCCTTGCATCCTTTCACCTTCGGCCCATCCTTGGCCGCTTGCGCTGGCCGCGCTCCGCTCGCCAAGTGACGACATGGCCCTCCAAGGCCCTTGCATCCTTACAGCGCATTGTGGAGTCCAAGACCCGGATAGCAGGGTGCCAGAATGGCGTGTCACGGCCTCTCGAAGGAGCTCGAGGAGATCTTGGAAAGAGCCCCCGAAGGAGCTTCCTGAGAGCTTCCGGGCAGACGTATTGGGAAATGCTCAGAAAGGCCTGCCGGAACACGCTGCAGCCTCAGGCAGGCTGCGCGGAGGTGTTTCACGGAAGCCAGAACGAGCTCCGGGGCTGCCTTGCGACTCCGGCCTCTTTTAATGTGAAGCCCTCGTAGCTCTCAGAGAGCTGTCCCGGAAGTCTACGGGTTGACTGCAGCTTGTGCCCGGCCGCCCTGGGCGACCGGTCCAAGGCGGTCCACGTCGCCGGTCCCGCTCGAAGGGCGACACGGCTGCCAACGGCGGCGGCATGGGGGAAGCACGAGGGGGGGCGGACAGGGGGAAGAGAAGATGCGGCAAGAGAGAGTCAGAGAGGGGGAGGAGGAGGAGGAGGAGGAGGAGGAGGAGGAGGAGGAGGAGGAGGAGGAGGAGGAGGAGGAGGAGCAGGAGGAGCAGGAGGAGCAGGAGGAGCAGGAGGAGCAGGAGATGGAGGAGGAGCAGGAGGAGCAGGAGGATCAGGAGGAGGAGGAGGGACGCCGATGAGAAATGAGAGGACGAGGAGGCGGATGAAGTGCGGGAAACAAGAGGCGACTGGTGGTATAGCGGGGGGGCAAGGGAGAGGTGGATGATGGTGGAGAATTAGAGGATCGGGGGGGGGAGGGGCGATATGAGATGGGGGATGAGGGATGGGGGGAGGGGGAGGACCAACAAGAGGGCGTAGCGTACAGCAAGAACAGGAGGAGGAGACAGGCAGAGGGGTAGAGAGGAGCGCCTAGAGGCTGAGGAATAATTGCTCAGGGGTCGGAACGCAGTGTTTCTGGGCCCGTGCGCCCGTTGACTACGGAGACAGTCCTATGATGGTAAATCAGTGCCTGCGACAAGTCCCGCCACCGTGCCACCGCGCAGCATTCCTTGTGGCGACTTCGAGCACCGCCCCGAAGGCCGTAAATTGAGGCAACTCTAGTGTCGTATTCTGTGAAGAGCTCCCAAGGGGCCTACCCTTGGCGCTGGCCGCCTGGGGCAATCCCGACCTTGTTGAGGAGGAGGAGGAGGAGGAGGAGGAGGAGGAGGAGGAAGAGGAGGAGGAGGAGTAGGAGGAGGAGGAGGAGGAGGTACGGGAGGAGAGGGCCACTTGGCGCCTTCTTGGGGCTGTCCTTGGGGCCTCTGTCTCGACCCATCTTGGGGCTCTCCCGGGCCATGTTGGGGCCGTTTTAGGCCGTATCGGGGAACCTTCGGGGCTGCACTGGGCCGTCTGTGGGGCTTGTTACTCGTTTAACCAGTTTTGTTATTCTTTGGCTCCAGTCCTCTTGGAACCATCTTTGGCCGTGAGTCATGGGAGCAGAGAAGGACAAAACAAGATGCCACCCTTGCGACAGATGGGTGGCTACGAATAGGGGCCATGATGGGGCTAGCCACGATGGGGGTTATGATCGGGGGCCACGATTGGGGGCCGTGTCGGGGGGGCACGATGAGGGGGCACGATGGTGGTCACGATAGGGGGCCACCATCGAGGGCCACGAGGGGGTGGACACGATGGGTTACCGATTTTGAGGGCCCAGCATCCCTTACTGGACGACATCACAATTTTCTAAAACCCGTTACAGACAAGCTGCTGAGGAAATCGCACCCTCTGTGGCTGAATGGTGTTAGCCTTCCTGGAGAGCCTCTTGGCCTTCCCATTGGCGTCGTGGGAAAAAGTTTGAGTTTCCTTGGCCCTTCAGCTGGCTTTATTCGGTGTCGCTGGGTGCCTCCTAAGGCAGTGTCGGGCTCTTTCGGCGGCCGTCCTGGGCCGTCTTGAATGCCTTGGAGAGCCGTTGCTGTTCCCCGGGGGGCGTCGTACCGCCCACCCTGCTAACAGGAGGGGAGGGAGGGGCCTTCGAAGACCTACAGAAATTCTACCAGACAGCACATGGCATTCTGCCACGCCTCGATGGTCAAGGGGCATCGTCGATGGCCACCGAGAAAGCAATTCCTGAGATGGCATGGCCCGCTGGGGAGATCTTGCTGTAGGGTGGTAAAATCGCATGTTCATGCCCAGGAAATCCGCTGAGGAAACACTGCTCGAACGTGGTGCAACGGCGCGTTCGCCCCCCCCCCCCCCCCCCAAAAAAAAATACCCCAGTGCGACCCTACCTAGGAGTTGGAGCCCCTCGGAAAGCAGCATTAGTAGTAACGGTAAACGCCGTCCTCCTCCTTCTTCTCATCGTCGTAGTTGCTTTTGTTTTTGCTTGTTTTTGAGTTTGCTTGGTTTTGCTTTTGCTTTGCCTTCGCACACACACGCATGTGTTGGCATTCGCTCACCGGGTGGGCTCTCTGATCGTAGTGTTGCACATTGCTTTTGTCGTGCCTGCCCTTTGCTTTGCTGTTGCTTTTGCTTTGCTTTGCTTTGCGATGCTAGTGCGTTGCTTTGCTGTTGCTGTTGATGTAGCTTAGTTAAGCTAAGGTAAGCTAAGCTAAGCTAAGCCTTTTGCTCTTGCTTTGCTTTTGCTTGGTTTTGCATTTGCTTTTGTAGTGACCTTGGCCTCTACGTGCTCGTCGTGGGACGCTTGGTAGGGACCTCGGCCACTAGTGCATGTCGTTGGACGCTTGGTAGGGACCTCGGCCACTACGTGCAAGTCGTGGGACGTCTTGTAGGGACCTCGGCCTCTAGTGCTGGTCTTGGGACGCTTTGTAGTGACCTCGGCCTCTACGTGCTCGTCGTGGGACGCTTGGTAGGGACCTCGGCCACTAGCGCATGTCGTTGGACGCTTTGTAGGGACCTCGGCCACACCGTGCAAGTCGCAGGACGCTATGATATGCTAAGCTACAGCTACAGCTACAGCTACAGCCACAGCTACAGCTACAGCTACAGCTAAGCTACAGCTAAGCGAAGCTAATACGAAGCTAAGCTAAGCTAAGCTAAGATGAGATACGCAAAGCTAAGGTAAGGGGGCGCAACTGGGGGAACCGCGGGGCGGATACTGGGGGAACCGCCCGGGGCGAGTTGCACTGCCCGGCCCTTTAAGCATACCGAGTAAGAACCCTTCTAGGCAGAGCTTAGGTAGGGGAAAACATGCTATTGAGTTATGAACGTTGAGTTATTACAGCAATGCCATCATCAGACATTGAGTTATGAATGATCTCAGCAGGCGACAGCAGTGCAACATCGACTACTTACATTGTGCCTTGTCAATTGAGACCCTCAGCCACGTTCGTCATTCGCCCTCGCCTTGCTCGTTCTTGCCGGCCCTTGAGGGCGAGCCGCTCGGCGACCGCCACGGGGTGGAGCTGTCCTCCTCGTGGAGCGTGTCCTTTCTGCACCCGGAGGAGCAGGAGTCGGAGCAGACTCTCAAGGCTGGGCGACAGGGGAGGCAGGCAGGAATGCCCAGGGAGGCAGGCAAGCCGCGGTCATGTCTCGCTTGCTCTCCCGCGCCTCCTCCCTAGCTAGTAGGGTTTGTCGCCCGGGGTCTCTCCACGAGTGTTTTTTGAGTCTCTGGGCCATACAGTCGGGGCGCTGAAGAAGGAACCCTTTTCGTTTGGGAGGGGCTCAGTGTTCCTTAATTGTTTTGCAGCTCGCCTTAGGTTTTCCTCAGGTCTTCGATCGGAATTCGAAGCATGACTTATGGAAAAAAAGGGGCCTCGTTCCTTATTTAGGGCTCCTTAGGTCCACGCCCCGACTGTAACGCGCGTTATGACCCTCCCCCCCACCCTTCCCCACCCATCTCGTAACGCCTTTCCCCCCCCCGGTGCTGCGCCCCCACAGTCCGTTGTGCCGGAGCCACACGGCGGGCCCTCCCCCCATTCCCCCCCGATGACGCCCGCGATCGCTGTGAACTCGAAGATGCTCGCATGCCACCAGCCCGCAGTCGACGCTCCTCAACGGAAGGCACAGACTCTTTTCTTCACCGACGGTGCGCCCCTCTCCTGAGCTCTCCTTCTGTTGCGCAGTCTGCTGGGCTCAGCAAGGCTCAGAACAGGGCCCCCCTGGGAATTAGCCGCGGGCGGCTCCCCCATTCGCCTCCTCCCGCGGCTCCCCGCAGTGGAGCGTCGTGCTCCCCTCCGGGAGGAGGCTCGAGCGGACCGCCCGCGAGGGTGGGATACCTCCGCCCCCAGCGGAGGTTTCCTCCTTCACTGTTCTGCCGATCGGCGCGGGCCCTCGGACCCCCCCTTTTCAGGAGGGAAGGAAACACACAGACACAATTCATCGCCGATCCCTAAGAAAATATGGGAACATATGGGAAGTGGGGGGGGAAGACAAAAACCGAGAAAATATGGGAAAATATGGGGCATAATTTTATTTGTGTGTATCTATTTGTTTGTCCCAGGCCCCCTTCACCTTCCCCCATGGAGTACATCTTGGCTGTGTTTTGGCGCTCGCTTCGAGCAGGCGGGGCCCCTCCCCCAGAGGACGCACTGCTGCAGACGGCCGCGCTGAGCAGAGCTCTGGAGCCAGATCCCCCCCCCCTCCCCCCCTTCCGCCCAATGTCCAAACGCCAAAGAAGAAAACGCTCACCTGTGCCCCTGCCAAGGAGCTGGAAGGAAACTTCAACGCGTGGCTGTGCGGGGCCGCAGTGGCAGCTCGCGCGGAGGCGGCGGTCGTGGCCGCGACGTTCTGCCGCCGTCGGTGGCGGAGGGCGCTGCGCGGGGCAAGCGCCGTCGCGAACGGGAGCTCCGGGTGCGACATTCCGAGCGGGGGGGGGGGGTCCGCTTGGCAGGCGAAGGCCCGGGGGCCCCGCTCGGGGGCCTCGAATCTCGGTGCAGGCGGGCCGTCCTCTGCCTGAGCGCCCCGTGGACGAGGCGAGCCTGCGCGGCCGAGGCAGCGGGCGGCCGGGCGCGCTCGCCCCCGGCGGTCGCGCGCAGGCATCGGCCCCCCTGGCCTGTTGCAAGGGCGGTCGAGGCATGCCTCGGGCCAGCAGCGGCGACGCTGCCCGAGCTGCCGGCACCGGCCTTCTTGGCCGCCCGCAGCGCCTCATGCGCGGGGGAGGTTGTTCTCTGGGCCTCCCTGGTGGGGTCGGAGCAGCTGGGGTGGGAGGATCGCGCCGCATCGCCGATACAGCGGCGATGCGGCTCAAAGGGGAGCCCGATTTTCTTCATGCGAACGTCGAGGACGCATCGCCGACGCATCGCCGGTGCATCGGCGATACATCGGCGATGCGGTGCAATCTTCCGACCTCATCCATGTTCGGAGAGCAGAGACCTGGGCGCAGGCACTCTCCAGCTTGCCTCCAGCTGAGAAGTACGCCAGTGTTGCTGTGAGCGATCTTCGCGGCGCAAGGGTGGGGAGGTAAATTCGGATGGGCTCGTCGGGGGCCATGGGGTCGGCGCAGGAATGTCTGCGGCCTGGCAAGGCGCGCTGCTGGTGGGCGCCGCTCATGCCCCCTGGGGGAGGCCTCCTCGAACGAGGGCATGCGCAAGCCCTGCACAGGAGCGAGCTTGTCACCGTGGCTGGCCCGCCCCTGTGAGATGGCCTCCTCGGGGGCAGCGAGGGCTGCCCCGCGCCAGGCGACACGGGCGGCCGTGAGACGCCGCGCCCCGCGGAGTCTTCGCCGACGAGCTCGGCAGTCCTCGACTGGTCATGCGACGGTGGCTGTCTGCCCCGCTGCGCCCAGGGGCGCTCCCTGGGTCCTCACCGAGGGCCGGGAGCGGGCGCGGCCCTGGCTCGCACGGGCTCGCGCACGGGCTCGCGCAGCACAAGCGACGCAGGCGACGCACGGGCTCGGGCAGCACAAGCGATCATCATACTTGCCGCTGGGGG